GGTTGAAATGTGGACCAGTCTTGTTCGAGACACAATGCAAGCGGGAGCCCTACTGTCGCTTATAACAGGCCCCACACTGGACTCTGAGGGCCCCAAACTGGCCTCAATGGGCCCCAGCCGGTCTTTGGGGTCTCTACACCGCCACTGATGGCCCTATTATGGTCTCTGGGGTGCCAGGTTAGTCTGGTCCCTGAGGGCCCACATCGGTCTCTGAGCCTGGGGGCCCCATACAGGCCTTTGAGGGCCAATACTGGCCTTTGAGGGCCCTACACCGACCTCTGAGGGCCCCGAATCGGGCTCCTCTGAGGGACCCACACTAGCCTCTGATGAACCCACTCCGGTCGCTGGGGGCTCAAGATTGAACTTTGGGTGCCTCGCACTGGGCTCTGAGGGCCCACATTGACCTCCGAGAGGTCCACACTGGCTTGTAAGGGATCATATTGGGCTGGCCTCTGATGACCAACTGGTTCTGGAGGGCCAGTACTGGCCAGTGGCCACTCAGGGTCCCAAACCGGCTTTTGAGGGCCATAACCGGCATCTGATGGACCGAACCGGACCCTGGTGGCCCAAAACAGGCCTCAGAGGGCCCCGCACCAGACTCCCATCTTTAGTCTCTGGGGTCCAAGGAAGAACTTTTGGCTTTTCATGCCGTCCTCCAAGGTTCCCTGTCAGTCTCTGTTGGTCCCCATGTCGGAATTTCGGAATTTGAGGGCCGTTATCTCGTCGCAGCGGGCCGGCATTAACCCGGCAATTGCTGGGGTATTTCGCCACCCACCGTTTGCTGGGGGGGGGGGGGGGGGGGGGCGTTAAACGCCCCCAGCCGATAACTCGAGAACCAATGGGCGCAGCGAAACGCACGAGGCGGCAAACGAAAGAACGCGACGAGACGTTTCAGATGAGTACTTTAAAGTTGAATTTTGAGGTCACAGGTCAGGTCAAGGTCAGGTCAAACACCTGAAATCGGGCTTTCAGTAGCGTGGACTTCAGGACTTCGCAATGGGCGCCTCTCGTCATAAACTCTGTCAAAACGGTGCACAATCCACCATATAAGGCCTACAAGAGTGTCAGCTCTATGCAGGGGTCAGTCAAGCATAGGTCAGGGTCAAGGTCAGGTCAACCGGGCAGGCACATATCCCCGAAAATAAAAACTGATATTCGCAGCCTGTGACACATGTTTTATGGGTAATTTGGGGCGTAGAACACGATGGTGACATTCATTTTATCATATGTGTACGTGTTTGCCTAAAAAAGCTCAATTTAAGAAATGCATGTATCATGGTCGTGAAGTATGTCACGAAAAAATTGCCAAGATTCAGTTCAAGATTTTGGAAAATGCGGAACGATAATCAATAATCGAAGATAGCCATTTGGTTGTTCATGGTATTGGCAGTCTAATGGCGTTTACGTCATGTCTGTGTGTCTATTTTGTGATTTTATATGATTTTTTTGAACATATGCCGTTTTTGGTCGAAAACTCAGAAACCATGACGTCACTAAAATCTCGATATCTCAAAAATTTTCCAAACGATTTTTTTTGAAACTTTGTTACAATAAACTTCAATCAATTCCCTACAGGTACCCAAAATTTGGCGCCCCTGCGGCGCGCCGTTTTTATGCTATGGCCCGGCGAAAAAAGTGGGGGCGTTTAACGCCCCCCCCCAGCAACTCGCGGGTTAAGGTCTATTGCCATATCGGGGTCACATCGGTTTCTGAGGGGCGAGGGCCCATGTCTGCTGCCAAGGGTCCCTGGTCTCTGATAGTTCCATTTAGGTCTTTGAGAGCCCGGGCCTGCCCATCATAGGCGCCTCATGTTATCTTCTTATTCTCTGCCGATCTCGGAAGGCCCCTGTCGATCTGTTTGGCCCTTGCAGGTTTTTAAGGGTCGCTGCTAGTCTCTGAGAGCCCCATGTCGTTAGTTGTGTCTATTTTGGGTCGCATTGGCACCACACATGTCTCTTAGGGCCCATACCAGTCAAGGGGTCCCACATTGACCTCTCAAGGACCAACGCTGGCCTCAAGGGCTCACACCACCTCAGAGGTTCCGAACTGGCCTTTGACGACCCCGCACTGGCCTTTGATGACCCTGGGCCCGCACTGGCCTCTGATGGCTCAGGCAGGTCTCGTAAGACCCACGCTGGAGTTCAAAGACCCATACTACTGTGCGAGGTCTCACCCGGTTTATGAGGGTCAATCTCAATACTGGCCTTGAATGATCTTACGCCGGGCTTATGTAAGGGTCTCATACTGGTTTCAGAAGTTTTCCGCTACTTACGAAAAACTTCAGGGGGAGGGGGCTGATATTCGCCCCCCCCCTCCGCGGTACGCGGGTTAAGCTAACACACCGGTTGACCTGACCTTGACCCTGACCCCCCCCAGCGAGGGTCTACAGGGGCCCCTTTGCCAATTCGCCCCCCCCCCCCAACGCCAAGTTTACGACCGTACCTGGTGGCGCCCACTTCCGGACTATTGCGCCCCTCGGAACCGCTTTGGGCGCCCTTTCAGGGCTGTGCAACCCCAATAAAAAACAAAAAAATCCACCCCTGACAAAAACTCACACATTTTACTGCAAAACTATGAATTATTGAGCTATTAAAATAAAGATGCATGCTTCTTGTCTAAACTCACATTACACAGTCATGGATGATATAACACTGGATTGGTGTCTCGTGGAAATTAACATTGGGATCCGCGACATTGGGATCAGGCCTGCCATCTAGCGAGAGAATTGTCGTAAGTTAGGAGCAAGCCGAGTGAACGCCATCTCTCAGCATTATGACACACGTGGGTGTTGTGTTAGTTGGCTTGAAGTGCATTTTCCCACGAGTTGGAGGTAATCTTACTGGACCTGAGACGACAAAAAATGTCTGAAATGCTTGTAAGCCAAAAACGTCAAGCAGCCTTTAGGTAATAACGAAAATAAAATGCGTAAGACTGTGTGTAATGAAGCGCCCAGTCCCATTGGCTTGTACGACCTTTTATATCGTCATTTACTCACAATGGTACAGCAGTTTGACAATATGTCACTTACATATTTGGTAGGCTTATTCCTTCTTCTCCGAATTTCGCCCTATTTTCTTCATCTAAGTTAATGTTACGGCACGTGCCACGTGCCAACTTAGGGGTGTCGAAATTGTTCCACATAAAGTAACTCCGCAATGGCTGGGCCAATTACAGTAAAACTTCGTCAATAGTTAGGCATCCAGTGGCCAATGCATTTCCATGTGTCACTATGGGGGTGCTACTGCACGTGCGGCGCACGTGGGGGGGGGGGGGGTGCCGCTTCCATATCTCAAGAACGGCTGGGCGGATAACACTCAACTTGGTACACAAATGTCACATCGATGCTCGCACTGCATTGATCAGTGCTTACATTGGTGCGGAGTCGTTAGGAAAACGATGAAATGAGATTCGTGGTGTTAATGCCTTTCTGTTCCAGCAGCTGATTGATTCGCAACAAGAGATCCTTGTTTGTGAAGGCTTCGTCTCCCTTTTCCACCCCTTGTTTAAAATAAGATTAACAATGTACGAAGAAGATCACACATCAAAGTTGTTTTAGGCGGCTATCTTGGGCCAGGACTGCGAAGTTGTTGTCAGAGCCAGCGGTTCTGTTCCGACTCGGAGTCGGTTAATTTTTAAAAGCTGTAGTCGGAGATGAGTCGAACGTCACCGAAAAGTCATCGACTCCACAGATTCACCAGGGCTGCAGAGTCGGAGTCAGAGTCGGAGTCTGTGTGAATCGACAGTTCTGCCCGGAGGAGTCGGAGTCGATATTTGGAATTGGATACCGGAATCGTAGTTGGAGCCAAAGTCACTGAAATTTCATCGACTACGCAGCACTGGTTGGGTCCTTTTCATATTGCGTCTTGAATGACATATTGAACGGCAATGACGTTAGCAATTCCGTTTAAGTTTTTCATTAGACTTATAGATAGTTACTTACGTTCGCTTTGTTCTTTGATCGGACAATTTGTTTGATTTAGGCCAAGTAAAGACTCATGTGAAAAATAGCGAAAACGACACGTGCTGGCGAAGTCTCCAATAACTCCCTGTTTCACGATTTAATGAGGAAATAACATGGAACTGCTTATCTTATTACTGACCCTGCACATAAATCTATTAATTTCTTCGCTGTTACTGACATATAAAGACATAACCTTTTGAAAAATTGCACAACAAGCCTGCTACTACACCACACTCCCGTGTGGCACAATGCTAATCAGCGGTGTTCACTCGGCTTGCTCCTAACTTACGATAATTCTCCCGCTAGATGGCAGGCCTGCGCTCAATGTCGCCAAAAACTGCGAAGACACCAATCCATTATTATCTCATCCATGACACAGTTATAAGCAGCCAAATTAGCTAATTTAACCTCTGACTTCAAGATTAAGTAACAGTCACAGATGTCCTAAGCCACAGGCTACCGGTCCTACATCACACTTTGTCTGCTGGTGGCTGTGGGAAGCAACACTGCTCATGCCCCTTCCAGTTGATTGTCTTTTTCACTTCTCATTGATGCTCCAATTACCACTGAGATAGAGCAGCTCAATGCTCATCCTCCATCCTCTAGTATCTACACCTTTGCTTTCTCTTTCTTTATCTGTGTCTTTCTCATCTTTACCATTATTATTGCTGGAGATGCTAGCGAATTTACTTTTCTCCGGTTCAGCTGTTGCCCTTTTCGCTGGCCAGAACCCATAAGTTGAAATATGGACTTGGAGCCATACCGCTTTTGAAAAAGAAAAAAGGATAATACGTACGCCATAGTCTCTGTCTCTGTCTCTGTCTCTGTCTCTGTCTCTGTCTCTCTCTGTCTCTCTGTCTCTGTCTCTCTCTCTCTCTCTCTCTCTCTCTCTCTCTCTCTCTCTCTCTCTCTCTCTCTCTCTCTCTCTCTCTCTCTCTCTCTCTCTCTCTCTCTCTCTCTCTCTCCTCCCGCTGCTGCTGACACGGGCGGCGCGGCGCCGGCGCTCAGTGGATGACACCAGGTCGTGATTCTGCCGCAGGCGTCCGGGCCGCCGTCGCCATGGCTGCCGAGTTTGAGTTTGTGCCACCGCCCGAGGCGCCCGTGTTTCGGCCTACCGCTGACGAGTTCGCCGACCCGCTGACCTACATCAACAAGATCCGGCCGATCGCCGAGCAGACGGGCATCGCGCGCATCATCCCGCCCCCGGTCAGTGTCCGAGCGCGCCCAGCGACCCACCACCAGCAGTCGCCCCTTCAGTCCAGCAGGCTGGCGCACTTCAGCCCTTCATCTGAATAATTATTGGTTGATATTTTTTAAATGGGTGTAAGTTGCAGGCAAGTTTTTATGGCGTTTTCCATATGTAGGTAATGAGCGAGTGGAGCAGGCGAGCGAGTTCATGTGTGGTTTAACGGAAAAATCTCTGTATGGCCACGTAAAAGACGAAAAGGTTTCCCATATCAAATTTGATAACATTTCTTTTTTGGCAAATCTGATCAAACTTTGATGAAATTTGTAAGAATTACAATAGCAATTAATTACTGAGCGGATTGCGCTGAAATTTGGCATGTATGAAGGCACCCAGCGTGCGATGCATTCCCGTGTGCCTCGGATAGAGGCTTCTGCCTTTTATGTGCATTCCCGTGTGCCTCGGATAGAGGCTTCTGCCTTTTATGTGCACCTGCACGGGCCGCTTCCAGATCTCGAGAACGGCCGCGCTAATGGCCGGACCGGTTACAGTCGTTTTTTTTTAAGCCTGTCTGATCGCTTTAAGTGCACAACTGAATAAGGCACGAGTCGAGCTATTGCAAGGAATGGAGAAACGAAAGTAAAATGAAGATAAAGGTACAATTTTCAGCTCGCCCAAAGCTGGCCAGTGTCAAGGATATGGAGGCTTCACGTGGGCTTTTCATTAGAGTGCTTTAACGGTGGGCCTCCCTGCCACCTTCTGCGCGGTGGGGGGGGGGGGCATTTTTTTGCCCCCCCCCGTATCTCCGACATAGGCGGCGGAACGGGGAGGGGACCGGGGCACCGTGCCCCCCTTTGATTTTGGCATTTTAACCTTAGCCCTATGGGCGTTGCATGGAAAGAATGGGACCAAAAGTCGGCAGTGCCCCTCCTTAATTGAAGCTGTTCCGCCGTTACTGATCTCCGAAACTACTGGACGGGTCCGTAAAATTCAAACGGCGTTCGATAGCCCTGTCAAAGTTAATGGAGGGAAGTCAGATTTCATTGACCTCGGGGTCACCGATGACGTCACTGGTCAGGTCAAAGATAAAATGTTTCACCGTTCACAGGTCTTCTAGGGAATGGGCTATAACACCGATTCAAACGCATTTTGTCGAAAATCAGCGATAGGGCGTAGGTTGCCTAGTACATATGTTGCTATTAGAGGCCACTGATAATACCAGGTCAGGTCACAGCCAGGTCAGGTCACCAAGGGTCAGCACATGAACCCAACTTTACTAACCCGCGGCCGGCTGGGGGTCCTGGATTTTCACGCCATGCGGGGGGTGTTTGAACACCCCCCTTCTAACTCGGCTCCTGGGCCACGTAGCGATACGCGGAAGGCGGCGTTCGAAAGAGCGCCAAAAATAATGACGAAATCACTTCGTTCACTTTTTTGGTCAGGTCAAAGGTCAGGTCACCAGAAGTCATTGAAGGCAAAATTTCGCCGATTTTCAGGTCGAATGTCGACAATTTCCAGGAAGCCAACGCATAACTCGGGAACTTATACAGGGTGATCCAAAAAAATTGGAACCCCTAACTTAAAATGTCTGTAAGTCCGAAAGTTTTCATTTTATTGACAAATTGCAATCATCATTAGAAAGAGCGTTCAATTCTCTATAGAACCAAGTTAATTGAACTTAACTATTACTATAAATATTACCCTAGTTATATGCCTATAAAATTTGTGTCACGAAACTCAGTGAAACGGTTTTCAACATTATCCGCAAATCAGTGATTTGCGGTTTGCTGTTCTGACTATGTCGCATGTCGGAGGTTAATGAATAAAAATAGCTCATTCACGTGCTATTGTAATGAATTTAAATTTCAGCAGGAGCAAAAAAAAAAAATGTCATTCGGTGCTCCGTGCCACACGGCCCACTCAGTGGTCGAGTTTCAGGAACAGGCCTGCCCGGCCTTCATCGAGCCAGATGCCTGGCCACCGAAGAGTCCTGTCCTCAGCCCTTTTAACTTATTCGTGTGGAGCAAACTGGAGCGAATGGTGTACAGAGGTCAAGAGGATCAGCACCATCGAGGAGCTGAAGGAAAGGCTGACGGCCTGCTGGGACCAGTTGTCCCAGAGACTGCTGGCCCGCGCAGTTGAAGCCGTCAGCAAGCGGCTGCAGGCCTGCGTGACGGCCCACGGAGCTCGGTTTGAGCACATGCTGAGATGAACAGCGGAAGCTAGGATGCGTGTATCTGTTTTATTGTGTGCTTCTGCGTAAACTTTTATGTAATAAAATTGAATGTGGATGTGGTATTATTCCTAAAAAAAAAAAACAGATGGAGTGCTAACGGATTTCAGTGCATTGTTAACAATTGGCGATTTCGTTTCACTCAGTTTTCTGACGCTCATTCCGAAACCTTACAGTGTGTCAATACTTTACAGGATACATGCACCAACTTGACATGACTTTATAGAGGATTTAATGCTCTTTCTAATGGCGTTTGCAATTTGTCAATAAAATAAATACTTTTGGACTTATAGACATTTTAAGTTAGGGGTTCCAAATTTTTTGGATCACCCTGTAGAGCTACAACGCCGCGGAAAAGCGCATTCGATAGCCCTATTAACGCCCTTTCTGAGTAGAGTAATTCTCTCAGATTTGACCTAATGTCAACGGTTTTGCCTGCAGGGGGCAAAAACTGCAAAAATAGCTGATTTTTCGGAAACAGTTTTTCTGCAATAACTTTTGACCCAACCCTTGTAGGAGCTTACTTTTACCGGCATCGTGTTCCTCTGGTCAAGACGCATCGAATGAACTATAACTTGACCTTGAAAGGTCAACTTGAAAATTTGACCTCAGGTCAAGGTCATGACCTGACCGGAAAGGGTCATGTTGCATATCAATCGATCCGTATCGTCAAGATGAACAAATCTAAGGCGTTTTCACCGCTCTGGCATGCCTCTATCAAAAGTTATTTGCGAAAAACTGTTAGACACCATTCGTGACCTGAGATGACCTCAGGGGCATAAATTCTCGCGGATAAGTCACGGACACCATTTTTTAATGTTCAATGTGTCTAAACCACTTGTAATTCAGTGTTTGGGAGTGTTTATAATGTCTTTCGTCCAAAAGAGGCGCATTTCAATTTTCTCCCATTGACTTATAATGGGGAGGTCGCAAAATTGACCTGACCTTAGGTCACCGATATCAAAATTCCGAGATAAACATTTTATAGATACTGTTACCCTCATCAATCGCTGAAAGTTTCAAAGCGGTCGGTCACTCGGTGTAGCTATGGCAGACATTGAAACTTTTTGTGAGGTGAGGTCACTTCAAGTGACCCGGTGACCTGACCTTGAATGAATTTGGTCTGAAATTTTTCTGGGGTGTTCAAACACCCCCCAACAGGGCGCGGGCTAAGGTTGTGCGATGCGTGTTTTTTGGCCAATTTTTCATTTCCAACTCAATGGTGTTGGTTATAAGACCATCAGGTACGGTTTAGGTCACTTTCTGGTGGAGGTCAGGTCAAGGTCAGGTCAAAAAAGATCAAATTTTAATGTTGATAGTTTTGCATAAAATGGGTATTTATTCGATGCAGCTCGTCACGGGGAGTCTAATGGTGGTCTTTGTTTTGCGCGACGAGGTCTAGAATTGCTAACAATTGAGTTTGAAAATTTGACGTCAATTTTGAGCAGTTTTTCACTATAACTTGGAAAAAACAGGTATCGATCTCAAATTCGGTATACCTATGGATAGAAGGCGGTAGGGACTATCACATATATTCCGGGTTTGTTTTGGATTTTTCGTCTATTATGTTCAAAAAATCTATTTTTTGATTTTTTTTTTGGGGTCAAAAGCCAAAAATTTAAAAAAAAATTGAGGCATCAGTTTTGTAGTCCTGTTAATTCTACACCTTTTATGTCTGAAGCTTTTTTTCTGGATCTCTAAAGCTGTAGGCCTGACAGCTGTTCCCGCGAAACCTTTTTATGGTCGAAAATGGCAGAAATGACGGCACTCCAACGTCATTAGCGGCCAACCTATAATAGCCTTCGGAAACTTTTTTGGTCATAATGTGCAAAAGCTATTCACGGGAGGGTACTGAAAGTTTGGTGACGATTGCGCAGTGGTTCTGGAGATATATGGAAAAAAACTAAGGGGGGGGGAGGGGCGCAAAAAATTCCCTCCACTGCCTGGAAGGTTATGATGGCGCAGGGGGCATTTTTTTGCCCGCCCCTTTAGTTTTTTCGATATATCTCGTGAACCGCTGCGCCGATCGTCACCAACCTTTCAGTACCCTCCCGTGAATAGCTTTTACACTTTTTGACAATTTTTTTCCAAAGACTATGATAGGTTGGCCGCTAATGACGTCGGAGTGACGTCATTTCTGCCATTTTTGACAAAAAAAGGTTTTGCGGGAAGAGCTCTCAGGCCCACAGCTTTAGAGATAGGTACATACAAATTTTCTTGACATGAACGGTGTATAATTAAGAGGGCTATAAAATAGCTATCTCAGATTTTTTATTTGTTTTTGTCCCCAATTTTTTTTTTTGAATATAATAGCCGAAAAATCCATTTTTTATTTCGAAAAAATTGGAATACATGTGATAGTCCCTACCACCTTCTATCCACATGCCAAATTTGAGATCGATACCTCTTTTTGGCCAAGTTATAGGGAAAAAACATCAAAATTGACGACGTCAAATTTTCAAACTCTTCTTAGCAATTCTAGACCACGTATCGCAAAACAAAGACCACCATTAGACTCCCCGTGACGAGCTGCATCGAATCAATGCCCATTTTATGCAGACCTATCAACTTTGAAATTTGACCTTTTTTGACCTGACCTTGACCTGACCTCCACCAGAAAGTGACCTAACCGTACCTGATAATCTTATAACCAACACCATTGAGTTGCAAATGAAAAAATGGCCATAAAACATGCATCGCACAACCCTAGTAAAGTTGGGTTCATGTGCTGACCCTTGGTGACCTGACCTATGACCTGACCTGGTATTATCAGTGACCTCTAATAGCAACATATGTACTAGACAACTGATGCCCTATCGCTGATTTTCGACAAAATGCGTTTTACTCGATATTATAGCGCATTCCCTAGAAGACCCGTGAACGGTGAAACATTTTATCTTTGGCCTTGCCTGTGACGTCATCAGTGACTCTGAGGTAAATGAAATTTGGTTTCTTTTGACAAATTTGACAGGGCTATTGCACGCTGTTTGAATTTCATGGATTCGTCCAATAGTTTCGGAGATACGGGGGGGGGGGGGGAGGAGGGAAAAAATGCCCCCCTCCACCGCGCGGAAGGTGGCCGGGGGGCCCACCGCCTGCCGGGTTAAACGATTAGACAGGGTTAACAAAATCGGACTATAGTAGGGTACCGCACGCGAGCCAGCCAAAAGTACCCCCATTACACTTCGGCACGTGTAGGGCTCCCTCTCGTGCTCGCTCGTTTCTGGTCCCAAAAGACGTCCTAGGTACTGTTTGAGCACCATGACTGTTTTTCAGGATTGGCAGCCGCCATTCGCGGTGGATGTGGACAACCTGAAATTCACACCCCGGATCCAGCGACTCAATGAGCTGGAGGTAAGTAGTCGCCGCCATCAATTATCATTGGATCAGATAGTTACGAAAATAACTGGTTAGGGGTGGCTCTTTACGGCCCTGATTCCAAATATCGGCTCTAAATTGGCCTTAAGTCAACAATGTAGCTGCTGACGCACGGTAACGCACGGTGTTCAGCGACATTCCAAGCCCTGTTTCTCCGAAAGGAGATGAGTCCTTTGAAATCGGTCAACGGTGTTTTGAAGAAATTTCAGCGGTGCATACTACAGGATGTCCCATGAGTTCCTTTTCACCTAAGTTTTATGTTTAGTCGTTCTCTTGCTTTACGACACGTTCAACGGAATTATTAGATTAGCTTATGTGGTTGCCATGGCAACTGGCAATATGCTCTATAATATTTTTTTTTTTCTATAGACAAATCGTTTTTTGCTAGAGACTCCAGTTTTTGTAGAGACGTCTGACGCCGCAACATGGGGGTCTCCGATACGGGTACGTCTCAGTATTTAGTCAGCCCATGGGCCATTCGGGATGGTTGAAGGTGGTCGTAGCCGGCCAGTCTGTATCTGGGACACCCTGTAGGCCACCTCTCATCCCAGCCTGTATGTAGTCGCTGAATACTCGCAACATGGCAGCATGGGAGGACTTGGAAATGTCCTACATCGTCAAAACACGACCCTCAGTGACCTGACCTCCGTGACCTGACCTGATATCACTGACCTCGAATAGACCTCAAGATATCAAAACGCAATGTACGTACAGGTCTCGCGGGTTTTAGCGGTAGGTTTTGCACCTAGAAAATTTAGTGTACTTCAGGCTATATCTTCGTCGTCTTAAGCTTTTAAGTGTTGAAGATGCGATCGACTTGTTGGGTAACAAGCCGGTCATGATCGTGTAAAATGGCTTCATCGTAGATCGATTAGTTTCTGAGATATAACCGGAAATGTAAAAGTGCAAAACCTACCGCTTAATCTCGCGAGACCTGTACTCTGTTTTACATGCAAATAAAATATGAGAACGAACTTATGGGACACCCTATGTATAAAATATTAAGTACGGGTCAGAAAAGTGTATCAGACACTCCGATAGCAGGACGTACGGAATGTCCGAAAAATCTTAAATATAGTTGGCACTTGGCAACCTTGTTCCGACTCCTGAGGTTCTGTTACTCGCAGATTCCGGCCAGCTCGCGGTAACCGCGCACGGCCAGCGCCGGCGACCTGAAGTAAAAAATGCCCCTCATTTTTGATGTTGCAGGGTAAAGCAGCTAAATTTTACATATTCTGAAAGGTAATTGTTTGGTAAACACCATATTGATAAAAGAAGAGCGGGACCTAGCGGGACTTTTTATATCGGCATTTCATAATATTTATAACAGTAAAATTAACTCACAATTTTAAAAGCACCTAAAAAACGTAACATTTGAAGCGTATTTATAGGTATATTTCGCTATAAGTTTTTCTTTCCATCGTGAAACCCATGGTCTAAACTATCAGGTTAGACCCCGAAAATATTGATAAAGCCGCCTAATATATATTTTTTCTTGCCTACATCAGCTGCTATTTTTCTCCGTACGAAAACGGGTCCACGATGCTTGTCACAGAGCTTTGTGTTTGGGCTGATGTGGCGACGCTGTACACCATGGACGAAAAACATTTGCAGATTTGTGGTCCATGAACAATGAACATTTCTGAACTAGTGATACAGTTTAAGTCAATTTGGGAAAGGTCGGCAAATCCACCAATGTCGCGCTAATTCCGACCGCGGTCCCATCGTGCGTTGGGGCTATCCAACGCTGTTTGTTTGCTGCTTGTCGCTATGTTGCGTGTTTGTTTGCTGCTTGTCGCTATGTTGCGTGTTTGTTTGCTGCTTGTCGCTATGTTGCGTGGTTCTCGAGCAGTTTTCTAAAATTGGATTCTGGTTGGGTGTGACGATGATGATGTCATCGGTTGTGGACGGAGGTCAATGAAATTGGGTTACAAGGTAGTTCCGTGGTACGGTGGTAGGGCTATCCAACGCCGTTTGAATTTTGAAAATCGGCCGGTAACTTTCCGAGATCTTAGGGTGGGGGGGGGGGGGCAAACCCTCCCTACGGGTGATAGGGTCCGCCGATAGCCCTATGGGATGCGGGTTAGATATCGATAGTCTCACAAAATGAGTACCAAGTTGATTATACACAGGTCGTAGTATTGATGTAAGCTGGCGACGTAGCAAAATTTGCACTGATAACGACTTATCTTTTGCAGTAATAGTAAAATGTAGTGGCAGCCGTTGGAATATTGATTTTGAAGGCTGACGCTGAATGTATACATACTTTTTACCTTTTTACCTACATCTTGCAGATCTTCATTTGCACGTAGAGAATGGTTGGTAGCTTTTGAATGAGAAAGCTTTGCAGCGTGCATTGAGTTTTTAATATACGAAGTTTGCTTTCGCCGTTTCAAAAGGAAAAATGCCCCTTAAAAAAAGTTGAAAAATTCGACATTAATGTTTTATTTTTCGCAACGGGTAAAGAGCCAATTGCCGAATCCGCTCACAACTCACGAGCCAAGCACATACACTAATTAATTGCAGTGATGAACAAGTTAAACTTAGTGCATAACCCATGGTATATAAAAACACTTCTCTAGTCGAATCTGAAAAAAGCGCAGAACACCATGGATGGGTCGAAGCAAGTTGGCGGAAGCAGCAAGTCGCTGAGTTGCGCTTTTACCTCTAACTTCATTTAATCGAATAAAAGTTTTGATTTGAATTTTGTTAACTTTAATTTGGTGTTCTTTGGTTTTTAATTTGCTGTTTGATTAATTTAATTTGAAGTTCGGCTCTATTAATTTTAGACCAGGTTATTTTAATTTGAAGTTCCCCTTGTTTTAATCCGCGCCCCGTAGGGCTATCGGCGGACCCTACCACCCGTAAGGGGGGGGGGCGTTTCGGCCCCCCTAAGATCTCGGAAATATACCGGCTAATTTTCAAAATTCAAACGGCGTTCGATAGCCCCACCGGGGAAATACCTTGTGACCAAATTTCATTAACCTAGGTCAAACCGATGACGTCACAGGTCAGGTCAAAGGTCGGATTTTCACCGTTCACAGGCATTTCTGATGTGAAATCGAGTAAATTGTTAAGTTATTGAAAATCATCGATGGTGCATTGTTCGTCAAACACATACTTTGCTATCTGAGGTCACTGATACCAGGTCAGGTCACAGAGGTCTGGTCACTGGGGGTCACAATATGAGAGTGTCGTGTGGTACATGTTTTATAACTAGTTCATTTTACATGACAAAATTGATTATGTGGGTCAGGCAGCCTTTTGGGCCAGCTTGGGTTACGTTCTGTTGAAGGTCAGGTCAAGGTCAGGTCAAATTAGGTTAAGTTTCATAGTTGATATTTTTGCATAAAATGGGTATCGATTCGATGCACCTCGTCACGGGGAGTGTAGTGATGGTCTTTGCTTTGCCCTACGTGCTCTAGAATTGCCAAAAATTTAGTTTGAAAATTTGACTTCATCACTTTTTAACAGTTTTTTCGCTATAACTTGGCCAAAAAAGAGGTATCGATCTGAAACTTGGTATGTGGATAGAAGACGGTAGGTTATATCAAATGTATTCCGTTTTTTAAACTCAAAAAAACGTTTTGGATTTTTTGGGTAATATATCCAAAAAATGACGTGTTTTGATTTTGGGGGTCAAAATTCAAAAATTGAAAAAAAAACGAGGCAGCAGTTTTGTAGCTCTGTCAGTTCTACACCTTTTATGTTTTGCTCATTTTCTGTATCTCCAAAGCTGTAGGCCTGACAGCTCTTCTCGCGTAGCTCATTTTCGGTCGAAAATGGCAGAACATGACGTCATTCTGACGTCATTTGTGGCCAACCTATCATAGCCTCTGGAAAATTTTTTGGTCACAATGTGTAAAATTGATGCCCGGAGGGGTCGGTGGCCATATCTGCAGCCGTTTAGGAGATATCGACGGAAAAGGACGGGGGGGGGGGAGGGGCTACGGGGCGCGGGTTAATTTGAAGTAAAAAAGGTGTAGTTCGATCAGGTGCCGAACAGCGGGCGCGCCTTCTGCCGTCAGGCACATACACGCGTGAAGCTCAACTTCCTGGACCAGATCGCCAAGTTCTGGGAGCTGCAGGGCTCTTCGCTGCGCATCCCGCTGGTCGAGGGCAAGGCGCTCGATCTGCACGCACTGCACTGCGAGGTGCAGAAGGAAGGTGAGCACCTACTTCACCCTGTGCGCGCGTGTGTGCGTCTGCGTGTGCGTGTGCGAGGGTGGCATTTATTTTCACATTCGCACATTTCCTGCAAAAATTGGGTTCTAGGACACCTTAGGTCATATCAGATCATCAATCTAGAGACTCCAAATCGAACCGTAAGCATAAAAAAGCATGGCAAAGAAAAACTATCGCGAGGTTTCCAAAATATGAAAATCTCAAGATCATGAAATTTGAAGCTAAAAATTGAGATTTTTAAAGGCATTTTGATCGTTTTTGGGGAAAACAGACCCTTCAGGGTGATCAATAAATAGGCAATAACATAAAGTTGGCCTCCATGAGAAGCACATAATATACGAATACTGCATGGGGGAGCGGGCAATAGCAAAAATATTGCCCGATGTGACGTCACTGTCGCCCGAGGGTGAAGACCGAAACAAGTGCTATTGCCCGAGGCGAAGCCGAGGGCAATAGCACCTGTGGAGTAGGGTGTGTCACTAATCGCAATGCAAGTTGCTCCATCGATTTTATTGTGCCCCACTCATGTGGAAAGGGCGTGGCATTGTTAATTTCCCGCAAATTTTAACCCCCAGGCGGCGCCGAGCGAGAGAAGTTTACCCTATCTCACAACATAGGCGACCCTAGCGCCCCTGGCGGCTGTTTGCGAAACTAACAGGCCGCTGACTGTATGGGCTTATCCCTGCTCTCTGTAAGCGCGTCCAGGGACAAATAATAGTATGGGCAGCTTGCAGAGAGTGCAAGCTAATGAAGAATACCTATAATGAATACAATATATTGTCACATGGGCCCAGGAACATTCTTCAAGTTGGGGTGCAAGCCCAAAATACCTGACATGACGCATATGAAATAGTAGCGTAGTCAGGGGGTCCCAGGAGGCACGTGCCCTCTAGTCCCCCCCCCCTATCGCATTCAGAGGACCCCTCGGGTCGGAGGGGCTCTGTGGCACCAGTTTACCGCTCAGGGTCTATGCTGGCCATATTTCGATTCAGAAAGAATAGGGCTTGTAACAGCACCTCGTGAGTCCAAAGAAGCCTCACTAAATTGTCCATGAGGGTTACACGCCGGCTTCTGAAGGCTACTGGCGGCCTCTGAGGGCCCTTTACCGGCCTCTTATGGCCGCTAGCGTGCCTCTGAGAGTCCTTGCCGGCCCAAGAGGGGCCATATCTAGGGCCTTACGCCAACCTGTAATTAGTAATGGCCTCACACCAATGTCTCTGACGGCCCCATTACGACGACTGTGAGACTGAGGGCCCTCACTGGTGCTTCTGAGAGCCCACCCGGCCATAAAGGGCCCTGCGGCACCAACTGACCTCTGAGGGTCCACGCTGACTATATTTCAACTGAGAAAGACCTCACAGGTCTCGTAAGAGCACCTCATGAACCCCTAAGTAGCCACACTAAGATCTCCGTCAGGGTCTACGCCGGCTTCTGAGGATCCCATAACGGAGACCGTGAGGGCCCTCAGCAGGGCCTCTGAGGGTTCACAACCAGCACCTCTGAGAGCCCAACACCAGTGGTTCTAAGGGCCCATAAGGACACCACTGAGGGTCCCCCAAGCCAGTGCCACACCATTTATGCAACCCTATATTGGTGGCTCTAAGGTACCCACACCTGCGCCTGTGAGGGTTCGGCAAAAGCATATCTGACGGCCACCTACCTGCAACTCTGAGGGCCCTACACCGGAGAGTGAGGGCCGCACTGGCGTCTCAGAGTACCTTGTCGGTATCTAAGGACCCCACAGGGCTTCTGAAAATGCCGCCGGCCTCTGTGGGCCCCTTGCCGGTCTGAGGTCCCCTCCCCGGTCGTTGAGGGCCCCCTGCCGACTTTTAAAGGGTTCGCACCAGCAGCTCTAAGGGCCACACACCCACATGTAACGGACCCACACCAGTGTCTCTGAGGGTCCACAACGGCGTCTGTATTCTTGAGGACCCTCACCGGCGCTTATGAGGGATTCACACTAGCACCTCTGAGGGGCCACACGGGCGTCTGTGAGGACCCCACACCAGTGCCTCTAAAGGCCCCTAATTGGAGGCTCTGAAGGCCCTGCATCGGTGATACTGAGGGTCCTACCAAAGGCACAACACAAGCCATTAGTCTCCTTCTGAGTCCCACACGCCGCCCTCCCACCATAGGCAGCGGAACGGGGAGGGCACCGGGGCACCGTGCCCCCTCTGATTTGGGCATTTTAACATTAGCGCTATGGGCGTTGCATGGAAAGAATGGGACCAAAAGTCGGCAGTGTCCCCCCCTCCACTTAATTGAAGGTGTTCCGCCGCTACTGCCTCCCACCGGAGCGATTGAACCTGTATCAATCAACGACTTTACCACCGTTGTACGTCATAATGTTCTCATCACGCCAAATCAAATACCATCCGGAACCAAAATGGTCCAGTATAAAATCTGACCTACCAAAGTTATGATCAAGTTCAGATAAAATCAAAGTGGGATGACAATAGCAGGTGTTCTTAAATCGATGCCGAATCAGCAGAAACCATTCACATGCAAGAGAAATACCTTGTGCTGATGTTTATATAAAAACAGACATGTAGGTCCATAAAAGGGAGATGAGATCCTTCATCGTTGCATCAATGTTGAGGGGGCGGCGCCCACTCGGCTCTCAAGTTGGAGGGGAGTAAGCGCCCCCACTGCCCCCCCCCCCTGTTCCCCGGGGTCTATGCAGTGAACGACGCTACCAAAAAAAAACATGTGACACCTAATAGCAGGCACTATAAACATGCGCTCGTACGTATCCCGTCAGACCAGGCCGGGGATGGGGGTAGTACTATGCAATATACATTAACACAGAACTATTTCGTGCTTTAAGATGCATAACATCACATTTTCACCAACATTCTGAGTGCCAGATAAGCCAACAGCAAGACGTCAGTTCGGTAAAATGCATTTACTGATGATCGTAAGCTCACAAAGCATAGCGAGCGTGTTAGTTCAAAACATTGCCGCTAGGGGCGCTGAGGTCGCTAATGCTGAGAGATAGGCCAAAGTGTCGGCGGTCGGCGCCGCATGGGTGTTAATATTTGGGGGAAATAAAAAATGTCACACGGTTTCTACGTGTCTGGGGCACGATAAAATCAGTGGAGCACCATGTTTTGCGAAAAAAGTGCACAAAATGACACACCCTAGTGGAGGTCTTCACCCTAGGGCGACAGTGACGTTACAGAGGGCAATATTTTTGCTATTGCCCGCTCCCGCATGCAGTATTCGTTTTATTACATGGCCAACTCTCGGAATCTTTACTTAGTACTCATTCATCCCGTAATAAAAAATATCCAAACACAAATATCATGGTACAATTGAATGTATTGGATATACATTATACAATCATAGCCACGTCACATGTCTACGGCACACACTTAGTTGCTTTACATGTTAAAGTTGAAGATGCAGCCTGTGAAGAGCTGGCCGCCGCCGGTCTGAGGCTCCACTGTTTCACGCCGTACTTGAGGAGACTCTTCGATTTGTAGCGTTCATCGTCCTTGCGTTTTACAGTAATGAAGAACTCCTTCACAGCGTTGTCCAGGACATCGTTGCTGTGCATGCAGCTTTCAACAGATATATATGCCTTTTACTTGCAAGAACTCAATGAAGACGTCTTCTGCTGATTTAATCACCTTTTTAGTGCCCTGAGCCCTGCGCGATGAAAATAGCTCATCCAATTCATGCGGCTCCAACAAGTTAAATCGGGGTATTTGAACGGACATGTTCAAATGACGGCCCAGTTCTTGATGACTTGACTAGCCAACCACGAAATCAAACTGAACAGTCTGAGAAAACGACGATAAAATTACGACATTTGAATTTTTGTTCAAACACCACTGCGCGAGCAACTTACTATTGACCGTTGACATGGCAACCGCTTCTCACCTTCAGAAAGGTCAGTAACCTGACACTGAAAGGTCAGTAACCTGATGCCGGGCAATAGTAAAAAATATCTCATGCCAAATTAACACAGGAGCCATGTAATAATATAAATTTGAAGACCTAAACAACACAATGGTCGAATGACAATTCTTGGACATTTGACATAACACAAACAGAAGTCAGTAGTGACACTTCGTTTGCCTACAGGAGGTGCTAGAAGTGCCTCCTTCCCCCTGCTCCGCGCGGCAGAGCTCGGCCTTGACTCGCTCCGTGCGCCTTCTTGCATGGAATTCTTGATTCTTCGGTGACCAGAGATCATTCCTGTGGGAAGGTTGCTGTAGCTCAAAACACTTCTCGTCACTCCAGATCACCTGTTCGAGCCATTCTTTGGCTAAGCTGAGCCAGGAGGTGCATGCTTCCAACCTCAACACCAGGATGTCAGCGGAGAGGACGGTCATTGGGACTGGACGGTATGGTTTTTCATTAGTTTGCTGCGGATAATTGTCCAATGTCCATACATAGTATACCAAAAGTGCCCTCCCAGGTTTTCTGAAGCCTTGCTACCGTGGATATTGGGCTAATTTTTGAAGAATAGGCTCTACACTTAATAAGAACTCGTGCTGGGCACGAAACCAGCACCCCTGACATCCTACAGTCCGGAGCTTTTTTGTCTACATAGACTTCAGCTTCCGGCCCCAAGCAGCTTAAAGGTAGTGTGCCAGCTTTCCTGGACCGTATGGAGTTAATGGTCCAGATAAGGAGAACCGGATTTTTAGAACTTATCCATACCTTCAAAACTCTGGAAACGTCTTAAATTCTTCAAATTTTGAGTACCCCAGTGCGAAATTCGCCCCGTCGGGTTGTCGGTCGTACCCCAACCACATTTCACACCACTATGAACAATAAATGCACACACTGAAACAGTGTCAGAAAAGTGGTTTGGGGATCTAAGTTCGCAGACTAAAATTTTGAAAAGGTCGCAGAACAAAGTTGGAACTTAGCTATGGTTCCAAATTTTTAATGAAGCTACTGCATTATATCAGTTTCTATTATGGTTCCAAATTTTTAATGAAGCTACTGCATTATATCAGTTTCTTTTTAGCATAATGGGCAGAGATTGTTGAAATGCAGCACATTTCAAAGTGAAACACCTGCACATGACCAACATGCAATGGTAATCATTAAGCAGGCACCTCACGAGATGCCAGATCTGTCTACGATAGCAATGTAGGTTGTAGGTTGTAGGTGTTAGGCTTGTAGGTTGTAGGCTAGAAGGTAAGGTTAGGTCAGGTTAGATTATGTTTCAGATCTGGCATCTCATGAGACGCCT